GTCCGTGTGTGTGTGTATATATAATAATATATATATGTTTGTTTGTTTGCGGGAGGGTGTGGAGGTGGGAAGGGGCTGGGCCAGAGCCAGGATCCCGGGGGTGTTCCTGTCCCGCTCGGAGGGTCTGGGAGCAGGGAGCAGAGGGAACCGGGCCAGCCAAGCTGCAGAGCCTCGAGAGCTGGAGCCTCCAGGGCTTTCAATCACTCCTGTAATTCCAAACCAGAAACTGCTGTTTGGGAACCTGTTGCTGCTACAAGAGGTGGGAATGTCCTTCCCAGGAGAGCCCTCTCCCTCTCTGTTCTCACAGTGGCTGCCCCAGGGGATCCCCTGCACACACAATCCCTGAGCTTTGAGCCGTTGGAGCGGGATCACCTGGACTGTTGGCTCAGGAATGTTGGGGGGGCGTGAGATGGTGTCACACCAGGCCTCTCCAAAGGCCTGTCCATGCAATCCATGATTCAAATCCCAGTGGGACAGGGGCAGATCTTTGCCTTGTCCTTGCCCCCTCTGTGGGAGGTTCCCTGTGGGAGCAGAGCTTTGCCAAGGTCAGGCCCAGGCCCTGGTGGGTCAGACTTGCACTTTACTGAGACTCCAAACCGATGGAAGGCACCGGGACCCGCTGGAGTCTCCGGGCTCGGTCCGTGGGGAGTGCACTGGTGCTTGGCATCCTCCTGGGATGTTCCTCCTTTCCCAGGCTGTGTTCAGTGTACCCCAGATAGGAAAAACCTGCCTGAGGATCTTACAACAATCCAAAATACATCATGGATCCCCCTTCTTCCTTCTGCCCCAATCCCAGTCACTGAAGTGTGAATCTCCCGAGTATCTGTTTGTAACTCAGCAGTAGGTGCTCATCCCCTTCCCATAGATCCCATAAATCCTGCTTAGTGCAATCTGGCAGAGGAAGCGTAGATCCTGCTCACAGTGTATTCTTTAGGCAAAGTCCCAACTGCTCTGTGATATTCCCAACAATCCTGCTGGAGTATTTGAGAGCTCTAGATACAACAGCTCAAAATCTAAGAAACCTCGGGAAAGGAGCGTTTCCCTTCCCTGGAATGTCACAATCACATCCAAAGGAGGGTCACACAGATAAACTGTCTGGCAGAGCTCGGTGGGTCTGAGGGGAGAGGCCCAGGGGGTCTGACTGTGTCCTCCCCACCCCACGAGGATCCGGCAGGAACGAATGTCCAGGAAGGAGGAGGCTGCGTCCTTTTGGGGAGGGGCTCTGGGAACGGACGGAGCATCTTGGGATCTCCCTGGCACGGGTTTAGAAGAAGCTACAAGGAGGGAAAGGCGAGGCTGAGGTGGGTTCTCCAGCCGAGGGGTGTCCAGGAGTTGTTCCTGACCCAGCAGTGGGTGCTGGAACGGAGGCTCAGGCGTCGGAGCGGGAGGAGGGGAATGTCCGGCCCTTCCCGGGAACGGGGAGGGGCAGGGCCGGGGCTGGGGGTGTTACCCCAACCTCGTGCGGGGCAGGATGAGCCGGAGCCTCCGCAGCTCCTGGTGCCAGGAGGGCTGGGATGTACAGTGTGAATAAACGCTTGCGGCTCTTTAGGCTTTTTTGGATCGATGAAGCACTTTTTTTATTAATATTATTTTTCTTTGTATGTAAAGGAGGAAGCGTCTCTCTCTCCGTAGCTGTGTACAGAAATAACCCTTCTCTCCACAAGAGAGTAAAGTGCTCCTATATTTTTCATTTTTGTCAAAAGCGAGAAGTAAATACTTTAGAATTGTTAAATATATAAATAAAAGTGAATAAAGTTTAGACTTTTGCATGGGAGCATTTGCTAACACACTTCCTAATTTTTTTATTTTGCTTCCCTGTCCCTCGGAGGGGATGTGGTGGAGGTTCAGCAGGAGCACCGAGGCCTTGGAAAAGGAGCAGCAGCTGCTGCCTCTGGCTTTGTGTTCCAGGCTGTGTCTTCACAAGGAACAACAAACTGTTGCTCCTAAACCCAGAAGAAAAAGTAAATCTTACACTTGGTTTTCCTGGTCCCAGGGAGGGGGAAAGGCACAACCCACACCCCTCCCAGGTTCTGTTGGTACAGTCAGTGCTGTTTTCCGAGGATGGAGAACTGTTAGAGGTTGTTGGTATTGGAGTCTCACCTCCCTCCATCCCACATTTTTCTTTCTCCCCTTAACCCACCATGTGTTTCACTCTGATGATGTTGCCCAGCTGTAGGAGCAGCCCAGGTCTCCAGGGAATTCCCCTGCTTTCAGTGGGGTTGGTGGGGGAGGTCGGTGGGGGAGGTCGGAGTTGTCACTGTTACAGCTCCTGCCTTATCCCAGTGCTGGATGGTGGAGCTGCAGCTCTTCGGGAACAAACCAAACTCACTCAGGTTCAAGATCTTTTTTCCCAGAAGGTGGAAAACTCAACTGGTCTTTGTCCTGCACTAAAGCCCAGTTATTCCCAGTTTCCTGTGACTGCTGCTCATCCCAGCTGTGCTCCCATCCCTCAGCTCACCCACCAAAGGCTGTTTCTTCTCTTGGAGGATTTGCCCTGAATTCCCAGGGGTCTGAGCAGCTCCTTGAGCAGCTGTGAGTGATGTTGGGCCAGACCTGTCCCATCCCAGGACCTCGTACTCAGTTGTTCCGTGATCTGATGGTGATTATTTAATCAAATCAAAGCAGGTCAGGGCAGAGCTGTGCTCACACTGGGGGGATCTGCAGCTGCAGGAGCCAGAAAGCAGCACAGAGATCCCGTTTGGCACAGTTAAGGACACACAAAGGAGCAGGGTTTCAGTTACACCTCACAGTTTGATTTCCTAGAGCTCCTTTCACACTCGAGTTACCTGGGAGTGCTTTGCCGGGAGCTCGTTGCCCTGCAGGTGTTGTGTGCACACCGGTGCCCTCGGGCACTGCCCTGCCGGCCGTTCCCCTCCTTGGGAACGCCGGGGGTGGGTCTGCTCTGCTCTCAGGGAAGGCTTTAACTCCCACGGGCTGTGAAGCCCTCGGTGCAGAAACTCCTGTCAGGGGCAGCAGTGCCCTGGCAGCTCTGCCAGAGGAGGACACGGCTGACGAAGCCCATTCCCCAGTGATCAGTTCTTCCTAAGGAACTTCCTTCCCCCTTTCCTTAGTCCCCGCTCTCGGCAGCCCGGGACCCTGTCAGGACAGCAGTGCTGCTGTCACAAGAGCTGAGGGGCTGTGGAACAACCTCCGTGGGCAGAGGGGATTTGGGGAGTCACAAAGAGCAGCTGCAGAACGGAAATCTTTGGGAGCTGAAGGGCTCCATCCCAGGTGGGACAGCGGAGGGGCCACCCCTCCCTGACAGGGGAGGTGACACCAGAGTCACTCAAGAGCAGTGATCTCACCCCCGGGCAGTGCTCGGTGATCACACCTGAGCAGTGCAGGTGAGTGCTGGGGGCAGTTGTAGTGTGGAAAACCTGCTGCTCTTTGGTGGGGAAGGGGAAGGAGGTGTTGGGAACGGCTCTGCTGCGCTGGGAGGGCTGTCGGGGTGGGACAGAGCCCACCCTGGGACAGGTTCTGAGGGGCTGGGGGGCTGCAAAGGGCAGTAGCCACGTGCAGGAGGCTGAGCAGGCTCAGAGCCTGTTGGACAGGGGGGTGTTACAGTCAGTCTGTAACTGCCCCTCGAATCGACCTGGAATTACCCAGGATGAGGGCTGGAGTCAGAAGATGGTGTTTTGCTGGGCTGTGCTGGCAGGGGGGCTTGGCCAGCACTGAGCCAGCTCTGCCAGGCAAGGGTTGGACCAGGTGTCACACAGTCCTTAGGGCTGCCCATCGCTGGCATCGCTCGGAACTGGCTCCTGAGCTCCTCGGAATTACGGTTTTCAGTTAAAAAGACAAAGCAACGATTTAGGCTCTTTTTTTGAGTGGTGAGAAAGGACAGAACGGCGATTCCTGATGGAGCTCAGAGCCCCTGGGGACAGCTCTGCCCTCAGGGACAGTTTGGTGTCTCGGTCAGTTCAGGCATCAGAGCTCCAATTGTTGCATTTTGGCATTTCAGGTCACCATATTCTTTGGACTTGGACATTTTTTAAATGCTACTAAAGTTTGACCTTATTATTTAACAAATCTGGGTTTTAAACTGATTTCCTGTAGTCCTGCCACAAAATGATTTTTATACCTTGCAGTGGTGATGAGTTTGATTGTACCTTTTATTTTTGGTGGGATTTGTACTAAAATGACATCTGAAATCTCGATTAACTACTTGAAGCACATGAAATGTTTGAAATCATGCAAAGCTCCAAGGGCAGAGCTGTTCAGCAGCAGTGGGACATGTCAGACCCTCGTGCTCACCTGTGTGTAACAGCAGTTCCTCAGCCTCAGAGTGAATGTTTAGCTCTTAATAAATTTCTCATTTTCCTGCACAGTGATGATTTCACAGTCCCTTGTTCTCTGTGTCGGGGCATCTGCAGAGCTCCCAGTTTGTGGGGCTTATTTTTAGGCAAATTATAGCTCATATATGAGGAGCAACCTGGGCTAGTGGGAGGTGTCCCTGCCCATGGCAGGGAGTGGAATGAGATGGGCTTTAAAGTCCCTTCCCACCCAAACCATTCCATGGTTCTACACTGTCGGGGGCTTTTCAAGCCCAAATACTCTTTGTCCCTTCAATGCACATACAAAGGAAGCCTTTTGGTGCTGGGACTGGTTAATGGGATTTGTGTGGTTTCAGGGAAGCTCTGCCTGGCTCAGCCTGGGATCCCCGTGCCAGGACACAGAGAGCCCACGGAGCCTCCCTTGCTGCATCCCACTGGAACTGCTCCCCTCTGCTCCTCCCTGGAGGCAGCGTTTGTCACTTGTGTCCTGGATCTGCCGGTTTGGCCTCAGGGAAATGCTGGACAGCTCCACGCTCAGCAAACAGCTCCTTCCCCCTCTTCCCACTCAGTCTCCTGGCTGCTGTAGCACTTCCCAGCTATAAATTCCAGCTGTCTTTGGCCTACTAGTGCTTTTCTTCTGTTATTAGCAACCTTTTAATTAAAAATTTGTAGTCATCAGGGCAATCCCAAGCAGGTCAACTGGCAGGCTGAGGGAGGAGAAGCACACAGTCAGCATTTAGGTGGAGAGTTACTGGATTTCAATCCACAGCTTAATGTAGAATTTATGTCAGGATGGATTGCAGCATCACTGGGACACGTGCACAGGGAATAAATCAACTTTCTGGAGGCCACAGAGAATTAAAATCTCTCTTTTCTTCAGAAAGCAGCAGTTCCTGAGGAGGTCAAGGTAGGAAGGGCTGTCTGACCCTTGGAGTCATGGTGGGTGACCTGGGAGCAAACCCCACCCTGGGCAGGTGCCAGGGTGGAAGCCCATGGTTAGCCCTAGAAAGCAAGAAGGTGAACAGGGAAAAATGGTGGTTTTCTGTGTTTAATAACCTTCAGATAGTTTTGAGTTTGGTTTTGGTTGGTCTTCTTCAAAAAGAACACCATTGGCAGTTGAAGAGCTGCTGCTTCCAGTCATTGTCTGCATTTGATCACTTGGGCTTTGACTAAATCATGGTGAGAACATTCCAGCATCTTGGAGCGACTCCCAGGGCTGTGTCTGCATTAGGAAACGGCCCAAAGCCGGGGATTTCAGCCTGGGGTGGGCGGGGGTCACTCCTGAAGGGTTTGGTTTGGCCCTTGGTGGAACGTCCCCACCACGCCTGGAATTTGCAGCTACCTGAGGATTTTGGGAGGGATTTTTTTGATTTCAGCTCACCTTCTGTGTGTGGTGGGGCTGTGGGGCCTCACAGCCGGCTGCCCCCATGCCCCAGGGTGCTGTCCCCGTGCCCCAGGGCACTGTCCCCATACACCAGGGCACTGTCCCCATACACCAGGGCACTGTCCTGCAGTGCTGCCCCGGCCCTGTAACTGCCGGACCCCGACTCTGCAGCCACCGGACACAGCTCCTGGTTGCACCACCTGCATGGAGAGAGGGAACAGTCTGTGCCAGCCCTGGGACACACACAGGGCTCACACAGGGCTGGTGTCACCCTGAGCTGTGCCCAGGTCGGATCCCATCACTGCAAGAATGGAGATATCCCATGGCAGGGAAGAGCCCCAGGGCTGAGGGCCCAGCCCAGAGTGCTGCTTGTCTCCACCTGGGAATTGTGTGTGGCCATGGCTGGGGGTGGGATCACTCCAGGAGGCAGAGCAAAGCCTCCCACATGGCTCATGGAATCACCCTGGACAGTCAGGGCCGGGCAGGGCTGTGCCTACCTGAGGGCAGCGCAGGTGTCTGTGGAGGAGGCCCCAGGCCGGGCTGCGTGCTCCATCAGAAGAGCTCCTGTGGAAGAGCAGGACATGTCAGCATTCCCAGGATCCTGCCAGAACTGCCCAGGACTTGGGAAAAGCAGCTGGTGGTTATTTCTTAGGCTGAGCTTCTTCAGTAGGAAAGGTGAGGACTGAGCTTTAAAGCTCCACCCTTGATCCAGGTGTGACCCAGCTGTCTAGGACTGACTCCCAGACCTTTCCTGGCCTGAAATCCATCAGCACAAGAAAGATGTGGAGCTGCTGGAAAGAGTCCAGAGGAGGTCACAGAGATGCTGCCAGGGCTGGAG